AAATCCATGGGGGTCACGTGCCGGCACACGTGACCTGTCCACACGCAATGCGTTTGAACGCACGCGTTGGCGCATCCACGTAAACATGCAACTGTGCAAGTGCAAATCCATTGTGAGAGCGGATCTATGCGATCGCTGTGCCGCAGGGGCACGCGTGTATCCTCGCGAGACGTATGGGAGGCGCGTGAATGCGCCAGTGTGCACGTGATCGCATGGGGGATGGTTTCCACTCCATTGTGCAGGATCCGCCATCCGTTAGCGGCAGCTTTAACTCACCATATTGTCAAGTGGCACTAGCCAAATTTGTTATTGTATTGGATTATCGTCGTTTTGCGCGGGAGCTACGAAGGGCGATCGAGCATCGTCATGATTCAGGCTACAGTTTCGATGGAACAATGAATAAATATTATTGAAGCGTTCGGAACGGAAAGTATTGATCCGTTGTTATCTATATTCGTTGCAAACATTGTTCCCTTTTTTTTATTAAGATTAAACCTTTGCACTCGGAGCCATTTTAATTCTACATTGAAAATAGTTTTTTCGATCTTTTTTTTCTTTCTTTTTTAATAATACTTATAATCAAGCCTGAACAGCTCTATCCAATAGTTTTTCTGACCTAGAATATTTCCACTTTATATGACTTCATACATTTTATGCACATAAAATTAAGTCTCATAACTTATACATAAAAATTACATTTTTAACAGTTTTTTTAAAAACATAAACAAGTTCGGCAAAAAGCCATATAAAAAGTTAACTGTATTTGATATCAACGTTCCTATTTGTGTGAGACATTTCGAAGCTTGTTGCCTGTGCAAAATTCTACACATGTATAAATTTTACAAACAATATTTTAAACAGAATACTACCAAGATTATTAAGAAGACTATAATATATAGAACATATTAAAACTCATGCAATATTATCTCTTTTATAGTGACCTTAATTTTTGCCTAATAGCACAAGACAATTTTCTAGATTTTAAAAACAGAAGAATTACAGTTAAAATTAGTATTATTAAATTAAATTTACTTAATGTAGTTAAAAAATTTGAAGATATTAATTAATTTTATTCTATTTTATTCTAATTCCGAAATTTTATTTCGATTTAAACTAAATAAATAACATTCATATTTAGTAGATCATGCATGAAATCTTCATCGCGAGGCTGACTTGTTTTTACAAGCCTTACAAGTCTTTACAAGACAAGTTTTTACAAACAAAGAGTTAAGTTTAAATTAGAAATTTTAAAGTTTCACTAGAGAAATAGTTATCAAAATACACAGAAAAATAAACTCACTTCTAAAAGCTACTTTTAACTTGATAAATCGGAAAAGTGTAATGAGAAATTATTTTAGTTAAGATCTTGGTTAAAGATTCCAAAAGACTGGAACTTTCGTATAGCTACAAAGTTAATACATACGTCCATGGCAACGTTTAAGGCGAGCATCCCTAAATTCCATGAATTTACCCGCTGAATTGCAACAATTCGCCGCGATTAATATCCGTCAAATTACACGTACGCAGAATTGCTTTGAAGAGCACACCGTTGCAACGCGAGATTAGCGCTGTTCGCGTTCGCAACGAGATGAATTAGTCCTCGCACGAGAAGGCCTGGTAAGGTAGTGGAGTAAGATAAGACTATAATCAAAGGGAAGCTGAAATAAGAGTAGAAAATATATGCGGGAACGGTGACTAAAAATTGAACGCCGAAGTCACGAGCGTGTAGCATCATTATCTCCGACTCGCAATTAAACGTAGTATCTTAAAGTTACCGTAGATTTATCCTCCTTCCCTGAAGTCTAGATTGAATGAACCGCAGGATTTATTCCTTTTCTGTGGTACTTCCTTTTTTGCATTCATGATTATCGGCAATTCCATACGATGTTTCACTAAATTAGCACTTCGAAGTTGCCATCTCAGGTCAATTAGCTCAAATATGAATGGGCTCTTTACTACTTATTTTATTTGATCCGATTTGCAACACTGCAAATTTTATTACGAATTAACTTTAATCCATTTCAATAATTTCATCTGCAAATCACAAATTTATATCATAAATTTTTAAATAAATTTAAATCTCCTATACACTTTTTATAACTATTTTTACAGCTATTTCTATAACTTTGCCTGTACATTTTTAATTTATACGCATAAATTTGTTTATAAATTTAAAACTCACTATAAATCCTAAATAAAGCAATAAATCATAAAATTCATTATAAATATTTCTAATTTTATTATTTCATTTAACTTTAACCAATGTCTATAAGCTCATCTGCAAATCTTAAAATATAAAAATGTATAGGAATAAAATTGTTTGTTAACCACTGATGTATCATAAACGACCTAACTGTTACAAGCAATTGAACCCGACGATTTCACATGCATAAACACAATAACGCAAGCGAATGCCAAAAAAAATCTACATACGCCTACATTTACGTTGTCCGAATTTACAATTGGGGGCAAATCTTTCTACGTAAAAAGTGCACGACGACGTCGAGACATTGACTAAAACGTGAATTCCGAGGGGAATTTGTGACCGAGAATCGTTCATAAATTAACTGACAACCTGACTCGTATTTTCCGCTGTGTGGTCCTCTGCGATGATAAATCTCCGTATAAGAATCCAGTGAATGCAAGGCGAGGTAGCTGTCCGATTCGGCATCAACGATTCCCGAATTCGCAGCGAGCTGCTACCATTTGCATACCCGTGGGCAGCGTAATAAGAGGGTCAACGACGGATCAACGGAGGTGTCGAGCTGACTGATACAAAAGTGAAACCCACGAGGGCTCGAGATAAAGGTAATTTAGATGCGTCGCTGGGTCACGACTGGCAACTATTACAGCTATTACCGGATCCCGGCCCATCTCGTTCCATCTCGTTCCATCTCATTCCATGCCGTCCCACGCCATTCTGTTCGCATTATGTTCTATCGATGCGAGTCCGAGCGTCATTTCGCGCGATCGAATCGTGCGGTCAATCGCGGCCGGGGACACATTGATTCCCCTGTCGGAAAAAATCGATGATTGCTGAATCGTTCCGCGGGGCAACCTACTTTTACCTCTAATTGTTTCTCGCGTCACGATTTTACGAAAATAAGCTTGACTTTTGCGAACCACAGGAATCTTCCACCATAGTCCGTTCGTTGCACGAAATCTGCTGTTAACTATCTTCAGGCGCTAAATACTGAAGAAATTGTGAAAACGATGTTCTAGCATGAATGCCACGAAATGAACTCCCCATGTCTATTTATTGTCACAGTTCATTGTCATCTTGTACACGTCTTCTACCGCCATTGTACGCTATTCATCTTTATGTCCTTCTTCATCCGTTTAAGAGTATTATTATTATTATTTATTATTTGTTTTATTATTATTATTTATTATTTTTTGTAGCATTTTTTCTTAATTTTATTATTATTACAATGCATTCGCGTGCAGACAGTTTTCGGAGCAGACGATCTCGTCGGGCGCGTGCGTCGGACGTGGACGCAATATCAGGAAGTCGCTTATAGGAAAACAAAAGCATTGTCTTCCGTTAGCTCGGCATAAATGCGCCTAACGTATACGTCGCCTCAAGGAGGATTCGCCGTGGAACGTGACAGAATCCAGTCCGCGCGAACGAACGAACGAACGAACGAATGAACGACAATGATCTTGACCTCGTACGAATAAACGCGTCGTCGTAGAGACCGAGGCCGCCTCTCCGCGCGTTTCCGTGTAAGCGCGCGACCGCATGAGCGCGTTCGGTTACGCGGCTGCATTAATAAACATGAAAGCC